GCTGTATAAAACCGATCACAACCATCATTCATAATCATCATCATCGTCGTCATCATTATTATTATTATGAGACGATTCCGATTATGAGTCAGAGAGGCATGTTAAATATTTATCGCACAAGTGACTTAACAAGCGCAGGTCTCACTCCGGCTAATCTGTGCTAAGCCGCGCTGCCAGCTGTGGACAAAACGGCCCGTTCTGCACATTCTTTTGTAGTGCCACGGGCCACGCTGAAAAACAATTACATGGAGACAGAGCGGGTTAAATGCACGGGGAGAGCGCTGTTGGGGCCCTCTGCCACCTCTCTCCAGTGGTTCTCCAACTCTTCACTACTCACAAACTTTGTACTACAACGGAAATTCAATCAACATGGATCATGCATGGAATGAGTCCAAATAGATATGTAAATAAAAATCCACTTGATAAGGGCCTAGCACACCTGTCAGTAAACCAGAGTATGATATTGCCTCAGTCCACTTGCCTTGATGAAGACCAGAGTTTTCGTAGTATGTCGCTCTGTCTTTCCCACAAAAACGTATTTCAAGTTAAAGATATTTTAGGTAAGAACCGCCCTCTCCACTTTTTCAACTAAACTCTCTGGTCTTATTTGACGAGCACATATCACCAGAATGATTGACATTTGGGAGGACCAAGTCTTGATCCACGTGGAAGTAGAAAATCCTCCTATATACCATTAAGTCAGAGCGCCTCGGACCTCTTTGCTTTCTTCATTATTTTCCAACAGATCCTCGAAGAGCACCCGACTTCTCACATTTACCCTGTATTATATTGTTTTTGCGCCCCATATGCACTCACTCCTCTCGTGTTTAAAGCATAATATCGCATAGACATATTTGGCAGCGCTATGGAACACTGACACAAACTGTTATGGGTGCAATAAAACCTATATTTACAGAGTGCCATCGTTGAACTAAACAATAAGTGCACCGTTCAGTTACAGACAGGATATTTGCCCGTGTCTCATCAGAAAAGCCATGTTTAAGGACACACAGAGACACGGTTGTTTGTCCAGGTAATTACAGACCAGCAAATATCTTAATCTTCAAAACAAATCAGTGGGTTTGACATGTAGAGGTTTTAAAAATGAGCTCTTTGTGCAAACAGAAAGCACATTTAACAAGTCCCTGATGTTTGTCCATGCTTTAACTGCCTGCAGACCAGCACCATAATATACTAGCACGACTTTGTTTTGCACGTGACCTCATCTCGACGCATTTGTTTAAAGATGTATTCTAACGTGTTTGCGCTTGCTTGTGTGGCTTTTTCACTCTTTGGACCAGAAGCCGCAGATGACACTTGTTCCCAGGGTCCTAATAGTCTGCGACACAAAGGCAGAAATGCTGGTTCAGAAACTGATTCTGTTAGAATCTGCCCTGAGGCTCCCAGCACAACAAGCTTCATACATCGTAATGTTTTCTATTATTGTCCAAGAGGAAAACCGTGTGAATTGATTTGATTCTTTCCCTCTGCTTTCTCTCTGCCGTCTCTCTCACGTCTCTCTCACGTCTCTCTCACGCCTCTCTCACGCCTCTCTCACGCCTCTCTCACGCTTCTCTCACGCCTCTCTCACGCCTCTCTTACGTCTCTCTCACGCCTCTCTCACGCCTCTCTCACGTCTCTCTCACGCCTCTCTCACGTCTCTCTCACGTCTCTCTCACTCTCTCTCACGTCTCTCTCACGTCTCTCTCACGTCTCTCTATCTCTCACGTCTCTCTCACGTCTTTATCTCTCACGCCTCTCTCACGTCTCTCTCACGTCTTTATCTCTCACGCCTCTCTCACGTCTCTCTCACGTCTTTATCTCTCACGCCTCTCTCACGTCTCTCTCACGCCTCTCTCTATCGCGCCTCTCTCACGTCTCTCTCACGCCTCTCTCACGTCTTTCTATCTCTCACGTCTCTCTCACGCCTCTCTCACGTCTCTCTATCTCTCACGTCTCTCTCACGCCTCTCTCACGTCTTTCTATCTCTCACGTCTCTCTCACGTCTCTCTCACGTCTCTCTCACGCCTCTCACGTCTCTCTCACGCCTCTCACGTCTCTCTCACGTCTCTCTCACGCCTCTCTCACGTCTCTCTCACGCCTCTCACGTCTCTCTCACGCCTCTCACGTCTCTCTCACGCCTCTCTCACGCCTCTCTCACGTCTCTCTCACGCCTCTGTCAGGTCACTCTCACGTCTCTCTCACGTCTCTCTCACGTCTCCCTCCAGTCACTCTCACGTCTCTCTCCCTCCAATCTGTCCCGTCCTTCACGTCCCTCTCATTCTTTCCTGTCTCTCACGTCTCTCTCACGTCTCTCTCACGTCTCTCTCACGTCTCTCTCACGTCTCCTTCACGTCCCTCTCAAGTCTCTCTCCCTCCAATCTGTCCCGTCCTTTACCTCAATTCCCCCCTCACGTGCCCCTCCCGTGCCCTCCACGTCTCTCTCACGTCTCTCTCACGTCTCTCTCACGTCTCTCTCACGTCTCTCTCACGCCTCTGTCAGGTCACTCTCACGTCTCTCTCACGTCTCTCTCACGTCTCGTCACGTCTCTCACGTCTCTCTCACGTCTCTCTCACGTCTCTCTCACGTCTCTCTCACGTCTCTCTCACGTCTCTCTCACGTCTCTCTCACGTCTCTCTCACGTCTCTCTCACTCCAATCTGTCCCGTCCTTCACGTCCCTCTCACGTCTTTCCTGTCTCTCACGTCTCTCTCACGCGTCTCTCTCTCACATCTATCTCACGTCTCCTTCCAGTCCCTCTCAAGTCTCTCTCCCTCCAATCTGTCCCGTCCTTTACCTCAATTCCCCCCTCCCGTCTCGCTCCCGTCTCGCTCCCGTCTCGCTCCCGTCTCGCTCCCGTCTCGCTCCCGTCTCGCTCCCGTCTCGCTCCCGTCTCGCTCCCGTCTCGCTCCCGTCTCGCTCCCGTCTCGCTCCCGTCTCGCTCCCGTCTCGCTCCCGTCTCGCTCCCGTCTCGCTCCCGTCTCCCTCCCGTCTCCCTCCCGTCTCGCTCCCGTCTCCCTCCCGTCCCCGTCCCGCCCTTCTCTTGTCGTCTCTCCCTTCTCTCCCGTCTCTCTCCCGTCTCTCCTGTCCCTCACACACAGGCTGCTATCAGCTCCAGTGCCTCCCTCACATGCTCCTGTGTTCTTTGGCTCGCTTCATTACTTGTAGCAATAAACAGCGGGCCACAGGATACCTCCAGAACCCTCCTCAGTGTGATTACAGGAGTACGGCTTACGCTGCACTTTGAGGGTCCAACACACAGCCTGACAGAGAACGTCTACAGAGAAACACTAGATTTTAAGTCGTGCACTGAGAGTCAAGGGTTATGGTGCCTTCTCTGCTGCTGTATGGAGCTATAGTCTGTCTCAGTGAAAGATGTGTCGGCAGTGGTTTGAAGGCTTGTGTAATCGATCTGTTCAAAGTTCTGCTCTGAGTTTTTGAGGTGAACTCTGGGCTGGGGTTTGGATGAGGACCCTCTGGCAGCTCCCGTGTGTATTCAATGGGCTCATTATTAGCGGCCGAGCTGGACTTGACCCAGAGAGTGTTTCAGCGACCGCAAAGGACTCGTAAAAAGCAAAGTCAGAATTCAACTCGGCTACACCAATATGTCAATACTGCACATGCATACACTTACACCTATTCCATACGTTGACGGTAGTAATCAGTTGTAATTTAACAGATAACGCTTTTTTAAAGGATCAGTATGTAAAAATCTGGCCTAAAGTGGTACTGCACTCTCCCTGACTCAGGTTGCCAGATAAGCAGACAAATCCAGCTGGGACCATAATATCTGAATAAAGAGTTTGTCAAACAACATATCTGAAACCAACAACTTTTTCACAAGATAGAAATCCTGGTTTATTCCTTGTTTTGTCATGATTTGATATGATTTGAGAATCATAACGAGAACTTTTTTTAGTTCTGTGGCCACATCTCACTATACCCGTGAGATTAGCTCGACGCTGTGAGTTATGGCGCCTGGATCACAGACTTTCTGATTGGTAAAACGGTGGAGGGAGGGACATCGAAATGAAAATAATAAGATGTACGGGCTGTAAAACAAATTTGGAAGTTGGAATATCTCGACTGAAGCTACTGTTAGATTCAGATTCAGATTAATTTATTTGCCATTTGCAGTAAAACCACATTGGAAAAACTGTGCAAGACTACCCCAGTGTGCACCAGACGACACACACCAGAGCTCTTGCCACGGCGCCATGCGACAAACAGTAGAATAAACAGCAGAGAGCAGTAACATACAGTTTCACAGACGATTGGATAGACACATTGTGCTTTGTATAAACCACGGATTTATGTTATCAGTTAAAGAAGTATTTGAAAAGAGCACGGTTTATTAATGCCTTTTAATGATGACTTGACATGAAAATCTTACATATGTGTTGGGAAGACCAGCGGAGCCATCCAAATTCAGTTCGCGAGGCTGAGTTACAACTGCTGCTTAAGATCGAGGCATTTTTATGGAAAGTATAATAAAAAGTAATTCCCCCACTTCTCTCTCTCCCTCTCTTTCTCCCCCTTTCTCTTTCTCTCTCTGCACAACCCCCAGCTCTACTGCCCATGTGCCAACAACCCTCTCTCTCTCTCACACACTGCCTCAGCTTCACTCGGTAATACGGCCAACAGCACAGACACAGAATAAATCATTTTCCACTGAACAAAAGAGCCAGTGTGTGAAGGAGATGTGTGCTGCTCCATTGGCATAAACTGCTGAAATAACTTGCATAAAAAAGGGCAAAACATTCAATCAAGGAAAAATAAAACTACCAGAATTCACCGAGGGGACGAGTAAATCACACGGACTCATAAAACCAGAGCCTAACCATTCATTAGACGTGAATTATCAATCACTTGGAAACTCAAAAGGTGTGGAAGGTCAGCAACTGGTTAGATTCATACGTCTGATATACGTCCAGTCACTTATTACCCATTTATTTCTGAGTGATGGGCTTCTGTTGGAACGAAGGTAGAAGTGCTCGTACCTGTCGGAGGTCCTGGACTAAGCGGAGCATGTCTCTGCGCACACTGAGCTGCTCCGGCGCCGCGTGGATCAGCAGAGTCCACACTTCCTCTTTAGATGGTCTCCAGCTCTGATAACACATGACCTGCAGCCAGTTCTCCTCAGAGATCTGTCCCGATGGAAGGGTCCGGACTATAGCCCTGGTCCCGGTACACACGGATTTCTTGACCTGATAAATTTTACAAAATCAACATACAGTAAATATAGTGCCCTGCGAAAGTATTATTACAGGATGAACTTCTGCATACAACCATAAAAATAGAGACTGTATTTTGATTTTTTTTTACTGAAAGTTCACACACAAGTAACAGAAAACTGTGAAGATTTGGTTTAAACATTTTAATATTATTATTAAAAGTACACACGTATTCATGCAGTAAGAGTTAATACTCTGTGGAACCCCCTTTTTCTGCAATAACAGCAGCAAGTTTTTTGAGGCATGACTCCTCAAGATTTGCACATCTAGAGAAAGTTTAGCCCGTTCCTCTTTACAAAACAACTTGAGCTCTGTTAAAATTAGATGGTGTTTGGGAACAGCAGTTTAAGTCTTTCCTGAAAATGAAAACAGAATCATGTATAATTTTACTTCACAGTCGTCTGTTACTTGTGTGTGAACTTTCAGTAAAAAAAAAAATCTAATTAAAATCTCTGTTTATAGTTGTAAAAATTGACAAAATTTGCGAAAGTTCAAGCTGCGTTAAAACTTCTGCAAGGCCCTGTAAAAAAACAATGTACCGTCGTTTACCTTCCTGTTGTTTTTGTAAAAGCGCCGGACGAGGACGGTGGAGCGCTCCTCCTTGCGGTTCCTCTCAAAGTCCACCTCGTCTGCGCTGCTCTCGCTGTGGCTGCTCCCGGAGACTTGCCCCGGGGCAGGCGGAGGCAGGAACAGCTTGTCTGCCGCGCACTTGTTGCTCGCGGGACGTCTGTTGAGCCGCTCTAAGCTGGAGTAGCCCGTGATGACTCGCTGGCGCTTGAGGTGTCCCGGGGGGAGGCAGCGGCGAGAGGAACCCGGGGAGCCTGAGGGAGAGGAACCCCGAGAGCCCGGCTCGCTGGAGGGTCTGGAATATCTCGCTCGTAGTGATGTCTGCGGCAGAACACACACACACACACGTTTACACACACCGGTTTATTGGACTATTGATTTATAGCGGTGGTCGAGGTGGATCGGTTCTCCAAGATTGTAAAGCGCTTTTTTGGACCTTGGTCTGTGAAATGCGCAATACGAATAAAGATGAATTACTCATTATTCAAATCTACATTTCTGCAGGTTTTCTATTTTCAAACAGAAACTACTCCATTGACCCTGATAATAAGCTGACATCCCTCAGTTTGCATGAGAAACGTTGTGGAAGCCCATTCTCCCAACTCCCCTTGAAGATAATTGTACATAAACATCATTTTATGGTTTTTGCTTTAACACAAACTCATATGTTCGAGATGAATAAAGAGTCAATCAGATTAGCTGTTCTATGAAAAAGCCTCCACAGAACATTACAATTTACTATGGCGATATATGGCTTCACACAGGCACTAACAAATGGATGGGAAAGAAAAGTTTCAATATGTTCAAGCACAACTGTATGCAAAATACACACAAGATCCATTTAATAGTGAGGATGTGAAGAAGAAAGAAGGAAAAGTAGAATTATGGGTTGCGCCTCTTTTTGCATTTTATTTTATGGTTTCTGTTCCTAGTTTTAGTACTGTGGATTTTAAGGTTGTGCACACTGGGGTAGTCTTGCACAGTGTTTCCAATGTGGTTTTCTGCAAATGGCAAATAAATTAATCTGAATCTGATTGTGTTGCTATTTAGTCCTACTTGTTTTTGGAAAATGTTAAACTTTGAAATGTTGTGATGATGATAATGAGGACTTCAAATAAGATCAGTAAATATTTCTTGGACAGATTAGTTGTGAGAATGTCAGTGTGAATGAATGAATGTATGAGTCTGGGTTGTAGTCATGGATGAGATCGATTTGTTGCAAGAAATAAAATTTAAAAAGGGTAGATGAAGTGAAGGGGATGCATTTCTTACTTTATTGAGGCTGAGAACCGACAGTGTGAGGCTGCTGCGGCGAAGGTGGCGCTGCTTCTGCCGTGGACTGAGGCGCGGACTGGACCCTGGACTCGTGCGGAGACCAGACCTCTCCTCGACTGAGGCCTCCAGCTGACCTGAACGCCCAGCCGCCATCGCCACACCGTCTCCATCAGTGTCGTTATTATCGCCTCCATCTGAGCCGAGTCTGTCCCGGGAGCCAGAGCCGAGCCCGCTCCCATCCACAGGGCCCTCTCCGGTTCCGTCCAACGACAACTTCCTGTACAAGAGCAGGGACGGGCCGCAGTGCTGTTTGGACCGGCACAGATCGGTGAACGGGTGAAACTCCTGAAAGACCACATTCTTGGCTGTGCTCGAAGGCGGTGAGGCGCGCTGACCGACCGCCACAGAACCCAACCGCGTCTGGGTCTTCTCCGAGGCCATCCCAGCTTTTACGAGGTCACTCTGTCATCATGTGTATAGAACGTAAAGGGCAGTAGAAGTCTTTAGGGACTGCATCGCTCTACGTGGATTTGTCGAGTGGAAACAGAAGCTTAGTGCAGCTGTACAAACTAGAAAACAGAGATCCGGAGAGCTGAGTAATGTCCTTGATAGCTGAGGTCCTTCTGATGGCACTGCGAAGGACAAAAAAATAACAACATGATCAGTTATTAAACCAATAAAACATCTACTTATAATCTTAGAAAACATTTGCTTATTTGACGACTGAGAAATCTTTTTAAATCCCACTATTGACCCAAAATTGCTGGACCAAACAGGCCCCGTTACTGACAACTGAAATAACAGAAACAAGAGATTTGAGGCAGGAAGAGAGGAAAGTGACAAAGGAAAGCGTTACGTCAGCGCTGCCGACAAGAAACAAATCACTACCGTTTATTGTCGTTTGGATCGACGAGAAAACAGAAATTGAAGTGAACTGTAATTTGAGTTATTAGCGTAGCACCCCCAACCCAAAGTCTAAACTAGTGAATGTAGCTAACCCAGGTCATATGTCTGCGAGAGGTAAACTAATGTGTAGAGGTTAACACTAGGGGAGAAAGAAATCCATTTCAGTATCGCAATATTTTGCACTAAACAAATAATTCAGTAATAATACAGTAGAGCAGTGTTCCCCAACCTTTTTGAGCCGTGGCTTATTCAGTGAAAACAGTTACATGGCAGCAGAAACTGATACAAAAATTAAACTCTGCAGCATTTATTAACGATGCAAAGTCATTCTCATCAAAGTGTATAATATAGAAAATCAGACGAGCACTAAAGTCTTTTTAAATCTTCTTGCAGTATATTTGTTCTCACAATATTTTGAGCAATTGGTATTGGATCATTTGCCAAAAGGTACACCGCACAACGTCTCAAGGCGCACCAACGTGTCACGGCCCACTGGTTGAAAAACGCTGCAGTAGAGCAAAGTGTTGTGATATTGAATTGAATAATAATCGCTTTCACTTTTGTGTTTTCTCTGGGTTTACCAATAACGGTGTCTTGTCTGTGATAAGTGTCCTGAATGTTTAAGGATTCATTTTTTGCACCTCCCACTGATGTTTTTGCACTTCAGTTACTGTGCAGACCATAATAAATGAGAATAATTGAGTCGAGTCTTATTGTCCTCAATTTTTGTAATGCTTTGAATAATATGAGGGACTGTATCGTAATATGTTAAAAATCGCAATAATATTGAATTGTTGTGGTCCTTATATTGCAATACTATCGAATCATCACATTTTCCCACCCGAGTAAAAACTGAAACAGTAATAGATCTTGGAAGTGTTTTTCTCCTTTACATAACTAGCATGTGGCTGGAGGGAGGTGAGGCTCTTGCGGAGTGGTTAGCTCTGGTGTGAAATGTATCCATGACACAGAGACCACAGCGGTTGGCATGTTTACTAGCTTAGTCACGGTGGCGATCAGCAGTAATGAATCCATCGTGACAACTCGTAACTCAAACGCGTCGGCAAAAGTGTGGCCCGAACTTCAGAGCTCGCACAGAGAAAGCATTTACGGGCTGCGACAGAACAATGCTGCACACGGGTTCAGTGCGCTGTCAAAACAAACCACAAGTCCCACACACAACACGCCCCACGACTGCATGTGGTCTGAGGATCACAGAGAGAAGCAGGAGAGCGACGTACTGATGACAGACTAGGACACAGAGACACGTGCTTCTCTTTACTAGACATTAGTCCAGGTCTCAGGTCTCTGCGCTGGCTCCTGTGGCTCAGAGAATAGACTTTAAAGCAGCTTGGTTTAATTCAGGTCTCTCCATGGCCTCGAACCAAAGTACATCTGTGACATGTTAGTGCCATATGAACCAACTCTGAGGAGCACAGGGACTGGCCTCCTGCTGGTGCCCGGAGTCAGGACTAAACATGTGGAGGCAGCCTTTCAGACTAATACAGCTAAAATCTGGTACAGTCTTCCTGAAAATGTGAGACAGGCTTCTTCTCTGACAGTGTATAAATGCAGGCTGAAAACAGTTCAGTTTAGCCGCACACAACTGAGGGATTGTAAATTTACTCTTTTTTACAGTGATTATTTATGATTTCAATGCCTTGTGTGATTGTTTTGTTAAGCACTTTGAATTGCCTTGGGTATGAACTGTGCTAAACATATAAACTTGCCCTAAAAATATAATGTGTCAATATAGAATATGTCTCATATAAATTATGAGACATTGAAATAAAGATAACAAAGAAATTACAAATAAAAAACATGTGATCTATGTATCACATGTTTAACAGTTGAACAGGTCTAACTTGATTATGAGGCAAAAGAAGTTGTGCAAGATGAATGAATGTGTGACTAAGTCTTAATAGAGTCAGTCTCAAAAGGCACAGTGGCACTTCTGTCTCACAGCAAGAAGGTCACAGGTTCTATTCCCATGCCGACCAAGGCTTTTACCTGTGTAGAGATGGTTCTACACGTTTCTGTCTGGGTCTGGGTGATATTTCTCTGATTAAAGATTAAGATCCTTCATTCGTCCCACAGTGGGCAAAGTGCAGTAGGAATAAGGAGCACACGGCACAAAATAAATGAATAACTCAAATTAAATTAAATTCAAAAAATCTCTTACTCTAGCTTAACAAGGAAAGAAATGTCAAATCTCCAACTTTAGCATGATGAAGAAGCAGACCAAGGAAAACAATTAGTAGAATATCAAAATAGTGCATGAATAACCCCGAGTTACATATACACAATACAAAATTATAAATGTTATATACACAAGAGAAACACTTGTAAGATATTCAAAAAGGAGTGGGAGCAAGTATAAAATTCTGCATATTCTAGTGCAAGTCTGACCATATGCACCATAGGTCTACAGAGGAACCATATCTGGACAGACAGCTGGCCCTATAGTTTCATTGAAGGATGAGTCAAACCCCAGTGTACATTAACTTAAGGCGGTATTTTACAGAACTTTCTCCTCTACACTAGGCCATAATGAAGAGTTTGATCATTCATGCAAGAAAAGCGTTCCTCGCAGCTCAAACTAATGTAACATGTGGTCTGGCAGCCTCCGCGTTAAAGTACACAGAGATGTTCGAATAATATGTCTGGAAAAGTCATAACGATCATTTATAAAAACTCTAAAGTCTTCATTAAGGTCGCTCCATGCACAGGGTTTGAACGCGCTGCTCTATGCTTTAGTGGAGAATGTGCAAGACTTTGGCTCGATTACGAGAGTTTGTGGGTTTTAATTTTGCGTTGCGTAAGACTTGGTCCAATTAGCAAAACTGATGGAATCCACCGCCAAATGCCACCAACACAGTGAGTTCAAGCAGCTTTTGTTATCGCTGAACTGAGGCCTGGTGCATCCGGGAAAGAGCAGCGGTCCTTCCAGACTATCTCAGCCCGAGGCCAACAACGCAGACAACACACACGCACGCACACACACACACACGCACACACACATACACAACTACAATAACAAACTGTACCAGGAACCAGGTCATAGAGACACAACAGAATAAGAGGGTTGTGACCAAGAAAATTACAATTTCTGTCTTCCTCAGATGAGTTTATAAGAAAAATAAATACATAAATAGACCCTCAACTAAGTGGCATCGAACTCATGTCAATTCACGCACACGAGTTTTACAGCAACTAATATAAACAAGGACACACCACAGGCCTTTGATGATTTTTGTAGAGTTTAATGAAGACCTTCTGCCGTTCCCTCTTCACTCTCTTCACTGTTCATTCACAGGACATTATTTCACACGTGTGCGATGACTCAGGACCTGCAGCAGGATTAGGTCTTTCTACTGTTTGCAGGGTGATGTTTCCACTACTACACCACAGGACAAAGATTTTAGATTAGATCCAAATGTTTCAAGTCTACAGCCAAAGGTAAAAACTTGAGCGCAATGCCTTTTTTTAACAGTGCAGAATGTTATTTTATGCAATGTTATCAATGTGTCTTGAATAAAAGATACATAAATATTCTAGTATATATTTTTTTCCCCATCACATCTTTGCCTGGTATAAAGACTGGAAAACTTAAAATATAAGCACAGTAACCTTGAATCTTAGCTCTGTATGCATGGGGATTCTGTTGCTTTGAATTGTTAAATGGCATTAGAATTAAAAACATCAAAAGTAGCAAACCCAAATGCTCAGTGTACAAACATGTATGTAGTATGTAGGGGCGACAGTAGCTCAGTTGGCAGAGCATTGGCCTTTGAGCCTGAAGGTCGTGGGTTCGAGACCACTTTCTCCACCGACTCCCACTGATGTCTGCTGTCGTTGTGTCCTTTAGCAAGACACTTAAGCTCTGGGAACACCAGGTGCCACTGCGGCTGTAAAGTGTCAAACTGCTGTTGTGTCCTTAGGCAAGACACTTCACCCACATTGCCTAGAATGAGTCTGGTGTGCGTGTGAATGGTTGGTGGTGGTCAGAGGGACCGATGGCACAGACTGGTTGCCTCGCTTCTGTTAGTGTGCCCCAGGGCAGCTGTATCACCACCGTGTATGGAGTTAAATAATGACAATGAAAAGCGCTGTATATAAAACTGATGCATTATTGATTATATAGTAGTTTTCAGCATTTAAAAACTGCACTCTTGTAATCTCATCTGTAACTTGTACACAGTCCTAAATCACAACAGTAATTATCTCAGAGGACTTTACAAAGCTGTCCATTCGACAACACAAATCAGAGAATCAAACATGAGAAATGCAATGATAAACACATAGAGCCATCGGTCTATAAAGGGCAGAGACCAATGTTCAGAAAAGTCAATGAGGTTTCTACATGATCCATATTGTGTCTTTGATACAGGCTGCAGAGAAGACCAAGACAGAACTAAGCCTGTAGAGCAACAGCTTATGTTTGTAGTTACAGGGTGTGTTTTGTCTTCCACATCAACCGATTCTCAAATGTAAATCAAAGCAGTTTTGCATTTGGCTTCTACATTTCACAACAT